TGGAGCAGGCCACTCTAGGCTCCTGTATCAGATGGGTAGGAGCTCAGAGCTTCTGGCAGCCTTGGGCAGGGAGGATAATTCCCCTGTTCCTGGACTCTGGGGGGAACTGAGGACAGGAGAGGCAGGCTGACATGCTGGCTTCAGCTGTGACCCTGTGTGTTCCTGACCTCAGCCAGATGGTTCTGGAGATCGGGGAGGGTGAGCTCCTTGGCCAGGAGGGGCAGGGCTGAGAAAAGTGGGACAAGAGGAAGTGTGTTAGTCACTGTTCTTTTGCTGTGAAGAGACACCATGACCACGGCAAGTCTTATAAAAGAAAACATTTAATTGGATGCTTGCTTACAGTTTCAGGGGCTTAGTCTGTTATTATCACAGCGGGGAACACAGTGGCACACAGGTAGGCACTGGAACAGTAGCTGAGAACTTCATCCTGATCCATAGGCAGAGATGCTCTGGGCTTGGCATGGGCTTTTGAAACCCCAAAGCCCACCCCCAGTGACACACTCCCTCCAACAAGGCCACACCTCCTAATCCTTTTAATCCTTTCAAGCAGTGCCATTCCCTGGTGACTAACCATTCATATAAGCCTATGGGGAGCATTTTTATTGAAAGCTCCACAGGGAGGGTGTCTTGTTAGAGGGTAGGGCACCCTGTGGCATCAGGAAGGCTGTGGGCAAACTCTGTGTGCTCTGTGTTCTATAAGCAAGGGCGGAGGCTGGAGTGGTCTGGGCATGAAGCAGCCTCTGGCTGAGCATGATGTGAGCTGCAGCCCCTCACGTCATGGTGGGGTGACGGCAGTGGTGCCCCTGGTGGTTGGTGGAGGCACGGCAGCTAATGAAGTTTAGGTGCTAGGTGCCTAGCGCAATGTCTGGCCACTTTTCTCAGCTGTTACTTATCTCAGGGAACTGAAAGCAGTAGAGGGTAGGGTTAGGTGCACGAGGACGGAGGACCAGCTGAGGCAAGTGAGGAAAGCTGCAGAACCCTAGTTAAGGAAGTTACTGCAAATCTGCACACACAGCCTGGAGCTTCCTTGTGGCCATATGAAAAAGGGAAAAAGGGAGATGCGGTCCTCACAGATCACAGGGGAAATGGCAGTCCTTGGAGGAAAGCCATGCTGTGCTTTACTACAGTTTCCTCAAGGGTGTTTCTCAGTGGGTGCGTTGTGGTGTTACTGGGTAAACGGCCATGCACAGATGATTTTCATAGATTGATGCTTGCAGCCACCTTAAGGGGACAATGAAGGGACCCTTGGGAGCGGGCGTATTTATGGGATCAGGACAGGCGGAGGGCTGATCTCTCAGGACTCTAGGTTAAAGCCTGGAGGCTTGTAGAAATGGGATTAGGGGTTTTTCTCATTCACAAAGTGGAGTTTTCTCTGTGCAGCCATCTCAACATGGCAGAGGTGTGCCTGGCATGCAGCCAGCGCTCTGTCCTGAGGTAGCTACCTATATAGATGGGGGCTGCATACATGGGTTCTACTTCTTTATTCCATGAGCTTCCTGGAGGTGGGTGTGTAAGAAATGTGAGTGACAGCAATGGCTCCTTGAAGTTGGCAGAGGCCAGCTATCCACTGTCATCACACGCAGTGTTCCAGGCAGCAGGAGGGAGGTGCTTGCTGTGGCTGTGACAGAACTGAGGAGTCAGGAGTGGCCAGCCCTGTGCCCATGTCCTGGCCCTCAACCAGAGCAGGAAGGCAGATAGACTAGAACATGGCATTCCTAGGGTCTCCCTGTCGGCCTTTTCCCATCTACCTTGACAAAGGCCAACAGAGAGGTTATGAAGGCCAATAGCACAGCGTGCCAGGCCAGCCCTGAGTGCAGCCAGCCCCTTATTGATGGATTTGACCAGCCACAGATGAAAGCCATATGTGATGGCACACACCCTTAGCCCCCAGCACTCAGAGGCAGGAGGATCACCATTTTGAAGACAGCATGGCCTACACAACAAGATTCTCTCTCTCTCTCACAAACATGCAAAATAATACAAACAAACAGTCAAACAAAAACCAAGAAGGGAAGAAGAGCAAAATAGAAAAAGAAAAAGAATGAAAGAAAGAAAGAAAGAAAGAAAGGAAGGAAGAAAGAAAGAAAGAAAGAAAGAAAGAAAGAAAGAAAGAAAGAAAGAAAGAAAGAAAGAAACTAGGTTGAAATTGCAGCCTTTTCCTTCACAAAATGCTGCTGCACAAAGACTCTGTGCACAGCAAGTCCATGACATTAGACATTAAACTGAATCCACAGGAAACCTAAAGTGTCTGGCAGGAGGCATGTGGTTTTATATGCAAATATTATGCTATTGCGGAAATGGACATGAGGATTTGGGAATTCAAGAGGCATGAGGGAGCCAGCCTCTACTTCACGTTGGACGATAGTCCTTGAACCCCTTACCCTGCAGGACCCTTCACATCCATTTTACAGGCAAGGTGACCGAGGTGCTGACATCACTGACTCCCTCTAAGTTTCCAGGAAATCCATGCAGCTTGGACTGTGGGGGGGACAGAGAGAAGCTTCCCTGGAGGGCTGGGGGGCAGGGAGGTGAAGCCTACACCAGCAGAAGGCCTGCTGGACCTGACTCAGCCTCTGACCCCAGCTACTCCCAGCCCAGCCTATGAACCAGACATGACATCATCATCTCCCCATGGCCAGCAGCATCCCCGTGCCATGATGGCGGCTGCTGGGTGGGACTCCCCTCCCTCCCTCCTCTCTCAGCCTTCACATCCTTGTTCCTGCTTGGACTTTACTCAGACTTGGAGGCCCCTTGTCCCAGAAAGCTGCACTGCAGCCCCTCTGACTTCTTGGGCTATCTGGGGCACACCCTGGCTCAGCACTATCTTTCTGTCTCTTCCTGTGCGTCCACTGTGGGAAGAGACTCTAAGGGACTCATTTCCCATCCCCGTGCTTGTGAGGCCCAGCGTGGGAGCGTGGACACACAGATGGTAGCGGTACGTTGGGAAGGCACATAGGGAAGGTGGGTCCTGGGCTCTGCAGGCTTCAGGCGCTTTCTCATCCATCTGTGTGCTTGGTCAGGGCCTTCTGTTCCCCAGGCCACATGGTAGTAGCCCTTCCAGAACTAGAGAAGCTGGGGGAGATGGTTCAGTCAGGGACATGCTTGCTCTGCGGTCAAAAGGACTAAAATTCAATCCCTAGAACAAAGACAACAAAACAGATGGAGAGTGATTGTGGACAATGCGTGTGTCCCTGTAAGCATCCTTACACACATGCACACCCAGCCAAGCACACATATGAACATACACACAGTGGGACAGTTCAGGAGCGCCCACTCCTGGAGTGTTGAAAGTGGCACCTCATGTTGTCAAGTAAGTGTTCTCCAACAATAGGGCCTCTCTCTCTCCCTCCCTCTCTCTCCCCTTCCCTCCCTCTTACTTCCTCCCTCCTCTTCTCTCCCTCTTCCTCCTGATCTCCAGCCCTAGAGATGTGAACCTGCAGATGCTGGCTACATGAACACTGCTCCACTGTGCTGCATCCCTGCCCTCTGTGTCCACGCTAACCGTCCCATTCCTTGGATACCCTTGGAGTATGCTTCCAGTCTTCAGAGTGTGGTGGCACCCAAGATCACCCCTGGGTCCCTTGAGCTCAGAGCCCCGGTGGAATTTTTCAGGTGGCTTTTATTTAGCATAAGTACTTTTCTATAAGGAGAGGCCAGCTCAAGCCCCAGGGGATCAGCCTTGAACAAAAGTCCTAGTGCTACTGGGTAACAAGGGAGGCTTTGATTGGAAGACTCACGGTGTGTGTGTGTGTGTGTGTGTGTGTGTGTGTGTGTGTGTGTGTGTGGAGGGAGGTGCTCAGGGCCTTCACTTCAACTCTGACGGACTGCTGGGTGGTGATGTTTCACTCCTAAGTACTAATGGCTTTCTGTGTACCCATGCCGGGCTAAGTGCTCCAAATCCTGATGTCCATTGCTCTCTAACACACTAACACTTTCTGGGATCCCAGTGCCCTTGTTTTACTGGTGGGGAGCCTGAAGTTCTGAGAGAAGTCATGTGCCAGAAGTGCACAGCTTGGAGGTGACAGATTTGAATCCTGAACCCAACCACTGCCTCAGGCACCTCTAAGTTCACAAACTTTAAGGATTCTCAGGGTTGCTATGGGACTCATGTGGGTCCAGTTTGGCAGCCTGCCCTGCAAATGCTCAGAGGCTGTGTGGACAATTGTCCCTCTCCACAAGGTCACCAGGACAGGAAGGTCTGTTCCTAACTCATGGTGACCAATGGGCCCCAGAGAAGGTCTTCATACTTTTTTTGGAGGAAGTCTTAATATGTAGCCCAGGCTTGCCTCAAACTCATCATTCTCCAGCTTTCCAGAGTACCAGGATTGTAAACCAAGCCATTTCATTTTTCATGTTTCTAATTCTTAAATTTATTCATTTATTTATTTGTTTGTTTGTTTGTTTGTTTATGTGTTTGTTTGTTTGACACACGTGCCTGGGCATGACTGTGTCCATGTTCACGTATGGAGGTTAGAGGGCAATTCTGAGGACTCACCTCTCTTCCTCCATGTGGGTCCCCAGGGCTGAACTCAGGTTGTCAGACTCGGCCACGAGTGTCTTTACCTGCTGAGCCATCTTGCTGACCTAGTTTCCATGCTATGTAGAGCAAGAACAGCAATGGCTGCTGGGAAGAGGCCCTGGGAACACTAGCTGGCATGGAGGGGCGTGTCCTCAGGGCCTGGCAGGTGCTGGAGTGGTCGGTCCATCTCCTCTGCCCCCACTGACTGATGCTGGTGTTTTCTCGGCCCTTCCGTGCTGTCGAGTGTCCAAGGGGGATGCCCACAGTCTAGGTAGTGTCTGCATTGCAGCCACCTGTCTTTAGCCCCTATGCTGGTGCTGATGAGGTTTGTCAATTGATCTGAGTGGATCCAGTTTGTTCTAGGTTCAAGGGCTCTGCCCTTCTCAGCAGGGAAACCTTGGCTGAGTGACTCTCGCCACGTTGCTGTTTCTTCCTTGTTGGGCTCTGGCTCTACCTGCTGCCTCTTCTTCCCTCCCTGCAGGTATTTCCAGCTGTGCAGTGACTGACTAGCTGAGAACTCACACTGGAGTTCCGTTCTGCAACAATGACCAACGGTAGGGACCCGTGTCTTCGGAGGGGACTAGGAGAATCAGGGAGGGATGCCAGGATGGCTGTGGACATGCGGGTGGAGTCAGGGTCTGAGCAACAGGCTCCTCCTCCACTGCATGCGGAGCTGGTGTGATAGCCCGCACCCTGCCAGACTCTGAATGACTAATTGCCTCACACACAGACCATAGGCGAAGGAAGGGTCCTTAAGAGGCAGGTGGGACCCTGTCTCTTCCTGAGGTGGGGGCAAGAGGCTTCGTCATTGTCCTCATTTAGCTTTGTGTTAGTTACTTTTCTATTGCTGGGATAAAACACCACAATCAAGGCACCTTATAAAAGAAAGCATTTCATGAGGCCCACAGTTCAGAAGGTTAGAGTCTATAATGGTAGAGAGCAAAGGCACAACAGCAGCTAAGTAGTCACATCTCACAAGCAGGAGGCAGAGACAGCACCTGACTTCCGTGACACACCTCCTCCCACAGGCCATACCTCCTAATCCTTCTCCAACAGTTTCCTTCAAATGGGGACCAAGTATTCAAACATATAAGCCAATGGAGGGGCCATTCTCACCCAAACCACCGAAATTTTCCTCACCCGTTCCTCCTCTAGAGCCTCAAGTTGTTTGGGGCCGAGTCTCCATCTGGCCTCATATTCCAACCTGAACCTGTAGGGTCCAGCTGTTACTGTCTGTACCTGCTAACCCTTGTAACAAGTGCCTGGCTTGCGAGATGGCTCCAGATATTTGTAAAAGAAACAAAGTAGGCCCAGCATTGGTGGTGCGTACCTTTTATTCCAGAACCCACGACGCAGAGGAAGGTGGATCTCTGAGTCTGAGGTCATTCTGGTCTACATAGTGAGTTCCAAGTCAACCAGGGCTGCATAGTGAGACCTGGTTTCAGAAAAAGAAGCAGGCGGAGAGGCAGAGGAAGAGGAGGAGAGAAGAAGGAGAAGGAGAAAGGAGTGCGGCTGGGGAGGTGGTTGTCAGTACTACTGAACTACCGAACTGCACTTTCAGTGAGACACCCTGTCTTCTCTGACATTGCCCTCTGCACTCTGCATGCATCCACATATATGAGCACATGTACATGCACATACACACATACATGCACATAGGTACACAAACACATGCACACACGTATACACACAAACAAACAGACAGACAAACGAAAGGCAAAATAAAGAACTGAAAGGGCAAAGCAGGGGATGGTTGACTTACCACCTTGGCCTTGCTCAGAGGAGCCAGGCAACGCCTCAGTACCTGTCCACAGAGGTCTTCAGCCCATGACCCTGTCTTCCCTTGCAGAAATGGAGTACGACTACAGCAACTACAGTGAAGAGTACCTTGACGGCTTTAACTCCATTGTGGACTTGGAGGAGGGAGATCCGCTGGAGGCCAACGTGACTCGGATCTTCCTGGTGGTGATCTACAGCCTGGTGTGCTTCCTCGGGATCCTGGGCAATGGTCTGGTGATTGTCATCGCCACCTTCAAGATGAAGAAGACGGTGAATACTGTGTGGTTCACCAACCTGGCAGTGGCTGACTTCCTGTTCAATATCTTCCTGCCGATCCACATCACCTACGCCGCAATGGACTACCACTGGGTGTTCGGGAAGGCCATGTGCAAGATCAGTAACTTTCTGCTCATCCACAACATGTACACCAGCGTCTTCCTGCTGACCGTCATCAGCTTTGACCGCTGCATCTCGGTGCTGCTTCCTGTCTGGTCCCAGAACCACCGCAGCATCCGCCTGGCCTACGTGACCTGTGTGGTCGTCTGGCTCTTGGCTTTCTTCTTGAGTTCCCCGTCTCTTGTGTTCCGAGACACAACCAACGTGCATGGGAAAATATTCTGCTTCAACAACTTCAGCTTGTCTGCACCCCAGCACCCTGCTCACTCCCGACTGGATCCTGTGGGGTACAGCAGGCATGTGGTGGTCACTGTCACCCGCTTCCTCTGTGGCTTCCTGATCCCTGTCTTCATCATCACAGCGTGCTATCTCACCATCGTCTTCAAGCTGCAGCGCAACCGCCTGGCCAAGACCAAGAAACCCTTCAAGATCATTGTCACCATCATCATCACCTTCTTCCTGTGCTGGTGCCCCTACCACACACTCTACCTGCTGGAGCTCCACCACACAGATGTGCCGGACTCTGTCTTCAGCCTGGGATTGCCTCTGGCCACGGCCATTGCCATCGCCAACAGCTGTATGAATCCCATTCTGTATGTCTTCATGGGCCATGACTTCAAGAAATTCAAGGTGGCTCTCTTCTCCCGCCTGGTCAATGCCCTGAGCGAGGACACAGGACCCTCCTCCTATCACAGAAGCTTCACCAAGATGTCATCACTGAATGAGAAGCCCTCCATGAATGAGAAGGAGACCAGTGCTCTCTGAACCTTACCTGGGCATGCCCCCACGGGTGCTGCAGCCCAGGGATACCCAGGGACTTGTCTCCCCATGTGGGAGACATGGTGGGAGCCTTTTTGGCATGCTTCAATGCCCAGCACATTTTGCACAGGGTAACTCATGTTTTGGATGGGGTTCCAGAGTGTGGACACTCTTCCAGCAAAATGTATGGATGGCAGAATAGCCTGAGCCTCTGGAGTGGGAGGTGGGGGGCAGCTTCGCTTGACTGAGAGAAGGGAACCGTTCTCTGGAGCCAAGCCCCGAGCTGTGATCAACACACAGGCACAAGGTTTTACTGTGTGTGCCCCAAACCCATGGCACAGTCTCTGCTGTGGGTGAAGACGCCAGCACAAACCCATTGCAGGCCTGCTATGGCAACGGGACAGTCAAGCCGGCAAGGCGGGCCCTGCCCCCATAATCCTCTGAGATCTTGGCCTTGGATTTCAGATGAACTGGGGAGACCAGGACCCGAGGGGCTTTATGGAACCCTGCTGGGGCAAGGCAGGGGTGTGGGTGGTGGTGGTGAAGAAATGAGGGAGGGCAGAGAACCCCAAAGGATGTGGGTGCAGAGCACCTCACAGCATCATACCACAGGAAGATGGTGCTATGGGCGGTGGATGCTTGGGGTTTTAGGTGGCAGCCCTTTGCTTCAGCGCCTATAAATACTCACCTAACCCTGTATCCTGAGTCTGGGGTGAGGGTATCATCACAGAAGCTCCCAGCCCATCCCAGGCTCTCTTCTCTCCCTCCCTAATCCCCTGAGCTCTGGCTAGGAGGGCTTACAGTGTAGCCCAGGGTAGAGGGATGGTCTCTTCATTAACCCCCTTCAACCTTTGCTGGAGACTGGTGAAGCTGGAGACAAAGGAGCTTTGGACTCCTGCCTCAGAATGGCGCCCAAAGGCCTTCCGACGCTTGCCTGTGACCAGCTCATCTGACTCCTCCCCGAATCGCACTTTCCAGGTGTGGCATCACAGCCCTGTGGGCAGCCCATCACCAGGCTTTCCTCCCAAAATCAGACACTATCGCCTGGCAGGGAAGTGACTCACCCAACACCACACACAGCAACGAAGCCCAGAGCCCAGCTCCGCCTAGGTGACTTCTTTCCCTCAGTGGCCTGCAGTTACTCAACGTTTCGATGCACGTTAAGCCTTTCACGTGTGTCTTCTCATTTATTCTTCACAGAAACCCTGAGTCAGGTCCTATCCATATGAGGAATCAGAGGCTCCCAAAGGTTAAGTAGTTGACCCAAGGGGACCCAGTTAGATGCCGGTAGGATCTGGATTCAAACCTCAGTTTGCCTGGCTCAAAGGAGGATGTATCATCAGAAAGAAACTAGTGGGTTTGGGGTTTTAGCCATAAATGCTGTTTTTTTTTCAGTGGATCCGTGTGAATATCTTAATAGTCTTCATAAAGCCTTGCTTGTTGTTTTCAGACTGATCTCTAACCCCCACCTACCCCCTGGCTCCCGTCACACATACTCTAAAGTTTGCTGGGCAAGCAGGGGGAGGAGCATGGCAGGGGAAGCCTCTCTGGTCCAAGGCCTTCTGGCTCACAGCATCCACCTTCTGCCCTTCTGTTCTCTTCCAAGCCACTTCCCCATCAGGGTGTAACACACAGATGTGTCCTCTGGCCTGGCCAGTTCCCGGACTTTAGGCTGCTGGGACTCACAGTTTATCAGGGGACAGACTGTTTCTCCTTTGTCGGGTCTTAAGATGAGGTAGGGCTGAACTGATCCAAGCTGGAACCTCTGATTGCTTCAGAAGGACTGAGAGCAATAAGGGAGGGAGGTTTAAAAATAGCCTTGTGTTCCCATTATCCACCCCCTCCACCCACAGCTACAACTGTGCAACTGAGACATGCCATGTTATGGATTCATCATGCCACAGAGGCGCTGGTCCATGACTGGGCCCTCATGTCCCCCCTGAACAGTGTGCTTTCTGGACATCGGAGGTGGCCAGGCCAGGCCAGGCAGGGGACCAGGAAATCTTGTTGCCATTGGAAAAGCTGACAGACAGGAGTGTTACACCAGGCACCAGTGTCCCCTGAGAGCTCACCCCTTCCTCCAGCTGTCCGGGCATCCCTATTCTGACTGCAGCTCATGCCAAACACTAAGGGGAACTTCAGTGTCCTCTTGTCCTCGCTGCACCCCGTCTCCCGAATCTCCTAGGACCTGTGTATAATCCCTGCAGTTGGCAAACTGCGGTGGCCTCCTGTGTCCCTCTGAAGACTGACAGGGCCAGTGCCCTCTCTGGGGCTGGGACCCAGCAGGGTCCTCACTGTTGCCTCCAGGGTGGGTGATGAGCTGAGGAAACATGGGGACAGGAAGGGAGGACCGATGGAGTAGGGGCGGGGCGCACTTCTGGGCATCCAGATGCCAGTGAACATTCGGATCTGGGCCTGGGCCCGGGGGAGGAGGACACTGTGTGCCTGGGGGTCACGCAGGAGTCAAGTCGGGGCTACACAGCTAGAAAGTGATGTGGGGTGTAGGGGCTTGGAACCAACGCTGCTGCCTGAGACCCCGCTGTTATCAGCCCATGTTAGCAGGATGGGAGGGAGAAAGGACAGAAGGGAGAGAAAAAAGAAAGGGAATGGAGGGGAGAGACGGAGGAGAAAGGAAAATGGAGTAACGCTACCCGCTACCCGACCTCAGAGCCTCCACCTCCACCGAGCCATCTCTTTCCCACCTTCCAGGCTCTCTTGAGACAACATCCCCCGGGGGGCTTCCTGTTAAGGGAGGGTCCTTGGGGTCTGTGGTTATGAGGTTTAAGCGAGGTGTCTACCCTCATGGAGAGAGCCACTGCCACAGACAGAGAAGTCAGAGCCTGCTAACGCCAGCCGCCAGCGAGACACCCCTGGGAGAGTGGGCAGGTGTTGAGCTGGTGGGAGGTGCCCCCGAGCTCCAGGTAGAGCTGTGGGGGCAGCAGGACTGCTGAGGAGGGCGAGAGCCAGGCTGGGGCTGCAGTGAGCAAGGAGGTGGACGGAGGTCAGAGCTGTGGGCGCAGGTACTGGCTGACCTGCTCAGACCCGGATGTGGACTCCCTCCCCTTCTCTGCTGTGGAGAGCGAGGCTGTAGCAGCTTCAGCCAAAGCCCCAGAGGCCTCCAAACTGGGAAGGCTGGGGAGAGCAGAGGGCTTGAGAGGCCTTTAAAAGCTCCAAAGCCTTCTCAGGGGAGTGGTTAGCAGGGAAGCCAACCTTGGGCCCGTATGTACAGCACAGAGGCCCTGCTGCATTAGTTTGTTGATGGAAATTAATTGTAAATATTATTCAAATGTACCTCCCAGTGCACAATTATACTTCTCAGGGGAGTTCCCTGAGTACATCAGGAACTCTGTAAATAATACATACATTAGCCCCGGGTGCTCCCAGCCATGCTAAAGCTGCTGCTGTGGTGGCGCCTGTGGGGATTACTCTGAGGGCTTGTGCTGGGGGTTAGCCTTGGACACCCAGACGTGTGTCTCTCCCAGAGGCTGAGGACAACCCTGGGCATGCCACCCACCTTCTGTCACCGGGCAGGTGACCTGGGCTGAGGGTAACAGTGCGGTTTAGCCGGCATCAAGCACTACTGTCTCACGATCCCATTGAATCTTTACGAAAACCTTTGTGGTAAGACCGTGTCTGTAGACAGATGAAGAGGTCGAGAGACTCGGAGAGGTGAGGTGGCACAGCTAGTGAGAGCTGAGAGCCAAGCCCTGTCTCTCTGTCCATCTGAAAAGTTCTTGCTTCCCCAGGATGTTACTAGATCAGGGTCAGTCTCTGCACCCCTCCCCCCACCCCACCTCTATCCCTGTCAACTTTTGAGTCAGGTGGTAATGAGTCTGAGAGACTGTCTCGTCCTCGGCAGGAATGGCTTGTCAGTCAGTTCCCCTCAGCCTTTGGGGTTGGGGGACACTACATGCTTAACCCTTCTCAGCCATGACCCCCGCCCCATTTCACAGATCATGAAACTGAGCAGGGTACAAATGGTGTGGGGACTCACCGAATATCGCACTCCTGAGAGTCGCTTTTAAAATGTCAGTTTAGACACCTGGAATTCACCTCCAGGTGCCCTCTTCACGGCTGAGCTTTGAGTACCAGCTCTGGTGACCGCGTGCCCAGGGTGGAGCAGAACCTTGGCTGAAGTAGAAGCGGGTTTTGGCCAAACCCACTTTGGAGCAGAGACAAGATTTTCCTAAGACGTCTTCACTATTGCTCTGGAGGTGAGTGAGGGTGTCCCTGGGAGGTAATGACAGGGGCACCTCCATTTAATAAAGCCCCACTCCGTACATCTGAGATTAACGACTCCTGAAAAAAAAAAATGAAGATCCTTTAGGAGTAAAGCAGCCCACGAAATGACTTCCCTTATCCCCGCAGACGGCAGCAGGAGAGGTGTGTGGGGTGCCTTGTAGACAGGGAGGAAGGGACCCTGCACCCAGGGAAGGAGCCCTCACAGACAGCCAGGCTGAAAGGCCTCCTGTGCTGATGGCTTTGCCACAGACAGGCGCCTTGGGTAAGTTTTGAGACATCTCTGCATGTGGTGCTGGCTTTACATAATCACAAATATCCTTCAACCCCTCAAATGTCCCCTCCTTCTGGGCATGGTGGCTCATCCAGGATCATAAAGGCAGGAGTGATGGGACCTGGGGGCAGTCTGGGCTACAGACTACAGACTACCGCAAGAACTAAAGCCCAAACCAAACATGTCAGCACTCAGCCAAGACGCCCTCTCCTCTAAGGCTCTCTGATCCCTGCTCGGGTCACAGAGGAGATCTCATTTTTTTCTGTAGCCTGGCCATCAGAATCACTTTACTTATTCAAGTATTTAGTTGTCTTCCATCTGCCCCCTGTTGGGAGAGGAGCTCTGTCAGGGCAGGGACCTCATGTGTCCCACTTCCAGCAGAGCACAGCTGGAAGAAGCTGCTTGCATTTTACACCACTGAACAGGAGAAAAGAGTAATCCTAGGATAGCATCCTTTCCACTCGGTTACCTGTTGTTGTAAACCTCACAATACCCTAGTTCCAAAGACTTCCCTTTTGTGTGACATGTGGAGAGAGTGGGGTACCCCTGCTTCTACAGGTGTGGAAACCGAGGCCCATATCATTGGGTGAAATGGAGGCGCTATGGTTTTTCCTGAAGCCATTAGGAACCTTCAGGGGGTAGGGAAGGTTTTCATTAACAGCTCCTGCCTCCCTGGGCCTTCTTTCCTGGTTGTCTGATTTATTGCTGCTTGGGAATAAAAGAACCAGATGCCTCCACCCCAGGCCCGCACCCTCCCTATTGTTTTCCATCTCCCCTAGACCAGGATTCTGTTAAAGGCTTGGCAGGCATGGCTGTGACCACAGACTTCCTGTGTTTATCCTTCCACTTGGAAATTGTGAAAGAAATCAGCTGGGCATTGGGTCTGTGTTGGCCTTGGATGGTCCGAACCCAGAAGCACAGACGCAGGTAGGAGGGGCCCTGATGCCCCGAGGCTCTGCAGCCCAGATGAACTGGGAGAGCCAGACCTAGGCTTCTCTGTGTCCTGGTTTCCACGGCACAGGCATTTGGCTTCTTAAAGCAAGCATCTGGATCATGGAGTGAGTTTCCGGTTTGATTCCAGATGTTGGGCTGTGGAGCAGGGAGGCAGGAAAGCTGATAGTATCCCGAGGCTCTCTGTCACTAGCAAGTGTTTGCAACCCCAGGCTCGATGCCTCACTGGAATGGGCTTCCGGGCATGGTAAGAAGTGGCCAGAGACAACGGCCACTGTTTAATAAGCCAGATCCCAAGGAATCAAGGCAGAGCAGGGAGAAAGACTTTTTGTTGTTGAACTGGAGAGAGAAAACTCAGTTCTTAGATGGGAGTGGAGTAAAAACTGACTGATTCCGGAATCCAATACACACCTGCCAGCAACTCCCCTCTAGCCCCAAATTCTCAAAGTAGGAAGGTGTCTCACTCAACAGCTCTTCCCTCCTCAACCCTGTGAGTGACTGCTAGCGGCAGGAATTGAGGTAGTGAAGGAAAGAAAGGAGTGTGAGCTTCCTGGTCGCTTTCCACTCTCACCGAAGGGCCTACCGGCTTCCCAGCCTGCTGGGATCAAATGCCACTGGTTTCGGTGAGCTGGAGAGGTGGCTCAGGGGTGAAGGGCACTTTTTCTTGCAGAGGACCCAGGTTCGATTCCAGGCATCCACCTGGTGGGCCACAACTGTCCTTAACCCCAGTTCCTGGGAATCCTGTTGTGGGTTGGGCAAATCCGAGGCTTTCCTGGAGGCCCTGATAAGTAGAGAAGGAAACAGGAATGTACTTGATAGAGCTAGTAATGGCCTGGGGCCAGAGCCTTGGGGGAGCCTTGGCTTCTGAGCCTGAGACCTCAGCTCTCCCCATATCGTGGGTCTATAATGTTCTTGAGATACCTTGTATGATATTGTTGGATTAGCGTCCTGCTGACTTCAACCCAATGCATGATATTTTTGCCAACT